TTTTAAATTCATGTCACTGATGTTTATTAATCTCAAACTCCGCTCTTTGTTTTTGTTATATCACCAGTGCTGTTGTTACCTATTTTTGTGCATCCTCCAAAGTCACTCAGTTTTCCATCTCTATCTCTTGGCCTCTCATGCTCACATTAGTTTTTTTGTTTTTCTGTAAAATATTTAAACATTTAAAGGCTTTACTCTGGAGAAAATCAGAAAATCAGTATTGTAAGTCATCTACTTATGGCTAATCCCTGCCATGGGGAGTGGAGATCATATGATTTTTTTTTTTTGCGCCGTGATATATCGCATGGTTTAAAATGATTCATCATCAGTCACTGACTGAAATGTTCTGCTGTCCATATACTTTATTTTTGCATCCATGTGGGTTTGCAAATTAAACACATTATGATTAAGAACCTGTTAGAGGAAATGGTGAACCCCTTTTCTTGTAATTTAGCTGAGTCCAGGCTTTAAATGCCGACTAACAGGACAACTGAGAACACCTAACCTTGCAGCTTTAAATCTTTTAGCAACCCGAAACAGTCTGAGTTACTTGAATATAATTGCACTCAAGCATCTTCTGTCTCCTCTTTACAGGATCCTCGTAGTAAACACAAGTTTAGGGTCCACACTTACTCAAGCCCCACCTTCTGTGACCACTGTGGCTCCCTCCTGTACGGGCTGATACACCAGGGAATGAAATGTGACCGTAAGTACACGAATATCTGCCTGTGTTTCAGAAAGGAAGCCTTGTGCTTTAGAAGCTTGCATTTTACGCTCTTTTTAAACCTTGCTAGTACTGAGCTGGACCCCCATTTCCCTTTATAGGTGCCTTAATTCTTTGTGGCACAGGTGCTGGAAAGATTTCTCAGAGATACTGGTCAATAATGACATGAGAGTATTGAATCTCATCTACCGAGCATCTGAATAACGCAGCAGAAATCAGGACTCATCCGACCAGGCAACATTTATTCTCTGATTTTCTCTTGTCTTATTTTGGTGAACCCGTGTTACCTATAGCCGTGGTTTTCTGTACTTAACTAAAAAATGTCCTCTGGTGTGGTCTTCTGCTGCTACAGCCAATCTGCTTCAATGTAAGGCTCTTCTGCAGAGATGCTCTTCTGTATACCTTGAATGTAACAAGTGGGGATTTGAGTAACTGTTGCCTTCCTCTCAGCTCAAAGCAGTCTGGCCATTCTCCTCTGAGCTCAACAAGGCATTTTCACCCAGACAACTTCTGCTTACTGGATATTTTTTTTCTTCTTCATTTTTTTGACTATTTTCTGTAAACCTTTCAGATGGCTATGTAGGAAAATCCCAGCATATCAGCAGTTTCTAAAATACTCACACCAGTCAGTTTTGCACCAACAACCCTGCCTCATTGAGAAACATTTAAATTTAGTTTCTTCCTCATTCTTGGCTTGAACTTAAGCAGACCGTGTAGACCATGTCTGCATGCCTAAAAGCATAGAGTTGCTGCCATGTGATTGGGTGATTCGATACTTGTATGGAAGTAGACTACGTTTAGAAAATGAAATCTGGTTGTTTCTCACATTTACGAGATGGTGTAAAAAAAAAGAAAAAGAAAGAGGAAGACTTGAGGAATTGGCCACAAGTTTCAGGTTTTTAAGATTTCTTCACTTCTGTGGTAAAAAAATGGCAAATTCAGTGTGTTCAGTTTTTCACAATGTAGATGAGCAAGGGCGAAAAAACTAATCCTGTTGCAGCATAGAGTGCAGTACAGGATACTCGGGCAAAGATCAACATTTCTGTCACCTAGAAGCTTTTCATTTGTCAATAAAAGTTTATGCTGAAACTGACGTTTGTTAGATTATATCTGATCTGATATCAGATTTAGCCAAATCAGCCCATTTATCAGTTCTTTTCCTGTCCTGATCAGTTTTTTACTACAGAAGCTTCACTCTGTCGTTAATGCTTTACAGCATTAATGACACACATATTGCTCCAGCTAAAGTAAAGTTAAAGCTTCCACTGCTGAACACTGACTGCAGTTTGCATGCATACTTCACAATAATCAAGCTGCTCATAATATTCCCCCCCTCCATTTCTTTAGTTGTGTCACAAACAGTTTGTGTTGGCATGAAGAGGAAGTAGGTTACCTCTCTGCAATGCTATACTCAGGCCAGCATTATTTAGTGGGCAGATGTTTCCTCATTGTGCTTTGACTTTGCATCATGAAAATACAAGAGTACCTTATTTGACATAATTTACAAGCAGGTTTGGTTATTTATTAATCCATAGAAACACTCGAGTTGTTCATTAATTGTAAATGTATAATTATCATACAGAAGATGAGACTTATTTCTGTAAGTGTTGGCAGACAAGCACGAGTAGTCTTCAAGGTTTACAGTCTTTAATGGATTAATGGTTCTCATGGATGTGTTTAGTGCCTGTTGGAGATAATACATTGAAATCCACGGTCACAGAAACATTATTGTTACTGGAAAAGAAAACCTACAGAGAGCAAGAGATTAACTTCTCACTCTCCACCTTCAGAACCTCAACACCACCCACTGATTCAACAGAGTGGAGCAAAATGTGGTACATCAGAAATGTCTGCCATCTAGTGGACGTACCAAGAAATGACCAAGGGTTATTAGACTTGTCTGTGTTCTTGCATTGATCAAATTGTTTCCCACTTACTAGTCTGTAAAATAATGAGACTTAAACTTTGTTCTACTCTCACTGTCCAGATTTAATGTTTAGCTGTGCCTTTTATTACTGATGACAAATCTTTAAACTTTTCTGACCGACCTGTGTATACAACACATGGCTTTAGTGTTGGTGCTCTTCGGCCCTCAGGCATTTTCTCTGGGCCAAGGTTCATTTAAAATGGACTGAGGAAAGTGGAAACCTGTTCTGTGGTCAAACGAATCGAAGTCTGAAATTTATTTTGGAAAACGTGGATGCCACATCCTGCAGACCATCCGGCTTGTCATCAGTGCTCAGTTCAAAAAGCCTGCATCTCTAATTGTATTGGAGTGCATTACTGTTTATGGAATTTGGCAGCTTGCACAACTAGAAAGGCAACATCAGATGACATCTTCTACAGGTGATGCCCTGCATATTTCACCAAGACAATGCTAAACCTCGTATTACAGCTATTACAACATCATTGGCTCCATAGCAGAGGAGCCCAGGTGCTGAACTTGCCTCCCTGCAGTCCAGTTCACCAACTGAAAGGATTTGGAGCATCCTCAGATCTCAGATGTTTGCATACTTGCTGTTGCTACAGTGGTAGACATGCCCCTGTATTGAGAAGTGTTGCTCCTATCAAATTCATGATGAGCCAGTATATTTTTCTTAAAATGGTACATTTGATGTCTTTTCTGTGTTCTACTATGAATAAAGTATGGGTTTATGGATTTGATGGATAGATCTGTTTTTATTTACATATGTCAGGGACTATAGGATGGCTTTGGGGGTGGGTGAGGTCACATCTCTGGTTGCTCTGACCTAACGAGTATGGGTGATATTTGGTCTGGTGTCTGGGATCTGAGAGTTCAATAGTTTTCATTACTTTAAGTACCCAGCATGTTTTTACTTATTATCTAACTGTCTCCAAATTTACCTCTTTGTTTTTTTGATTAATTTTTTAAGCCCCCCGTGTCTGTTAGGGTGCAGCCCTAAATCTCTTTTAATCTGGCAATAAGGCACTGAAAGCCTTCCGGTAATTACTTTGGGGGGGTTTAGGGCACAGACTGTCACATGTTAGACAGACTGTGATGATTGTGATTCATAGCCAACCTGCACAATTTTCCTCTCTCTCTCTCTCTCTGTTCAGACTGTATGATGAACATCCACAAGCGATGCGTCGCCAACGTCCCGAGCCTGTGCGGGACGGATCACACGGAAAGGCGAGGACGCATCCACATCTCTGCGCAGATCACTGACGACACTCTCACCGTCACCAGTGAGTGCTCCCACACACACGAGCGCACTGAGTGCCTCTCAAAGCTCTCTGCCAGCCTAAGACTAAAACCGGAAAGTCCATTAGTTGATCAATGATCCAACGATTGACCCACATTGCCACTGGGACATGCAGCCACGTGCCAGCGCTCCCTTTCAGACAGCTGTGGATTGATTATGGAACAGAAACTAAACTGTTGTTAAGTGTTGTCTAATGTGGCCAGAGTTATTTAGGGCAGGCTGAAGCTTTAGACATGGATGGGTTGCGCTAACACTTTGGGAAAGGACAAATTGCGGACAGTCTAAAAGTGTGCATTATCTTGGGATCTTCTGGCACTTATTTGTATTTATGTCCTCAACCTCCCCCCCACAGTCAAAGAGGCCAAGAACCTGGTGCCCATGGATCCCAATGGCCTGTCAGACCCCTACGTCAAGCTCAAGCTGATTCCCGATCCCAAGAGTGAGAGCAAGCAGAAGACAAAGACCATCAAATGCTCCCTCAACCCCACGTGGAACGAGACCTTCACTTTGTGAGACACCTTTTTGTTGAACATAACTTGCCTTTTGATTAAAGTTACTCACTTGGCCTCGTTTTGAGTCGCATATGCGCAAAGCTAACTGGAGCTCGTGCAAGTGACCCAGTCCTCTCTCCTCCTCCTGTTTGTGCTCGTTGTTTTTCGAGCTATTCTCGGGTAGGAAAGGTATGAAAAACTGATTTGCTGCATTGTTTTTAAGTTTGTACAGAGAGAGATGAGGACTGTGATCTCAGGTTTTCATTTTTAGCTATATTAGGAACACGCTTTATCTTCCGTTTGACTGTCCTCCATTTTTTTCCTTTTAGCAACCTCAAAGAAACTGACAAGGACCGCCGTCTGTCAGTAGAGGTCTGGGACTGGGATTTGACCAGCAGGAATGACTTCATGGGATCACTGTCCTTTGGGATCTCAGAGCTACAGAAACAAGGGATAGATGGATGGTGAGAAAATTACACAGGTGTAACTAGAAATGATACAGGCAGGACGTGCAGGGGTGTGAATGTTTAGGAGGCTTTGTTGTCATAGTCTGGTGATAATCCTGGATTTTGTCTGGCAATGCTCTGCTTTCATTCTGGGGTTTAGGTTTAAGCTGCTGTCCCAGGAGGAAGGAGAATACTTTAATGTTCCCGTCCAGCCAGAGGGAGAGGACGGTAATGAGGAGCTACGGCAAAGGTTTGAGGTAAGACTCACAGAAATCGACGAGAATGACGACTGGTTTAATTTGTGCTCTTGCCTATTTCTTGTTCTCTAATAAACTACGTCTTCCCCCTTCCCCATTTTAATTCTAGAGAGCGAGAGTGGGTCCAGGGAAGCCCACTGACTCCTCTTCTTCCTCCTCGGTGTGCAAGTACGATAGCAACGGCAATCAGGACCGCGTCAAGCTCTCAGATTTCAACTTCATCATGGTTCTGGGCAAGGGCAGCTTCGGCAAGGTGGGGCACGCGTCAGTAGAAATGTGATGTTTCTGATGTAAACATGGCAGCCGGTGGGCAGAATTAAATCTCTTTAAAACTCACTGATTTCCTTTGGTTGACTCCCTCAAAGGTGATGCTGGCTGAGAGGAAAGGCACAGATGAGTTGTACGCCATCAAAATCCTGAAAAAAGACGTGGTGATCCAAGACGATGACGTGGAGTGCACCATGGTGGAGAAGAGAGTCCTCGCCCTGTCAGGAAAACCACCTTTCCTCACTCAGCTGCACTCATGCTTCCAAACCATGGTGAGACAGCTTGAAGCGAGACCAGCTTCTTTCTTATCTTTTATAATGTTATCAGAGTGCTTTCCATGGCTTGTTTGCTTTGGTCTGTTTACTGTGTAAATTTGAACTGTGTAATTATCAGCCTGTCGGTAAACTGTGATTCTGAATAATTTATTCCTCTCTTCTGGTCTCCTGCTTCTTCTTTATTGCTCCTAGGACCGATTGTATTTTGTAATGGAGTATATTAATGGAGGAGACCTTATGTACCATATCCAACAGGTCGGCAAGTTTAAGGAGCCTCATGCTGTGTGAGTGCATGCGCGCGCGCGCACACACACACACACACACACACACACACACACACACAGTGAGTTTGATCAAATCTAGAAGAGAATCAAGCATTTCGATGCTCTTAAACAATCTCCCACTTAAGAAACTCAATGGTGATTAACAAAACAGAATTTGGCATCCAGAAATTGCCTTTCCTTAACTAATAAGTTTAGTTTCACATCAAAGTTGATGTGCCACGATTATCTTGTTTTTGCTTCTCCTCGTCTGTTCTTGCTTTTTTACTTATAAGTGATGCAACAATACTCCAAATTGCACTTCAGGACTAAGATAACTTTGCATATTCACAATTCCAAATAATCCTTTTTTATACATTACTGGATCTCGGTGCAGCTCGTCAGTTAATTCACTGTCTCAAACGAGCAGTTTTGGCTCTCCTCTTCCTTCCATTAAGTGAGCCACGCTTTGATAGGCTCCATCTTGCAAACAGAAGGTTTGAACAGCTGTGTTCCTGTGATGACCTTATTAAACATATCTGTTCTCATTGACTCAGTGTTTAGTCTGAAAGAAGAGCTTTTGACTTACATTGAGTGAGATAAAAAATTGCCATTTTATCTTCATATATAGCTGGAGAAAAAATAAATTTGACCCCCCTTGTTCACTTATAAAAGAAATGAACAGTCTTTATTTTTATGGTAGTTTCATTTAAGTGTAATTTAAGTGTAATATGTGCCCAATAAACATAACAGCTCAGGGAATCTTAGGGACTAACTACCGCAGCTCCACTTGGCTCATTAACGTAAGCAACATGTGCACGTGGCTAATTAGCATGACATTACATAATGCAAGTTAACAGAGCTTTTTCTCAGCCTGTATCTACACACATGGTGTTTACACAAGCACAATCAAAACATGCCCTTAATAGGAAATGTTTAAACAGATGGCGAGTTAAACTGTGTATTCCACCTCAAAGCTTTGCTAACATAGCTCCGTGTTAGCTACAGGGATGAAGCAGCACCTACCTTTTTCTGCCACTGTTGTCACATAATCCTTAACTGTCTGTATTTACATTCATGCACTCAGCAGCTGGTCTTCACATAATGCTGGCATCTTTGTTGAAGACTGTGCAAACTTAAGGTCTAGATAAACCTTTACCAGATGACAGGTTAACAGGCACTTCCTGTTTTAACACTTGCGCAGATCCGTGTATGAGGAGAGACGAGTTCCTTTGCAGTAAAAGCCCTGCAGCTCAGAAAGGTTATACTTTACTTAAAGTGGCAGCCAAAACTGTTATAAAATGAACTTTTTATGCATTTTGTGCGTTATACTTACAAACATTCGTGGTGCTTAAAAAATGAAAATGCACACTTTAACCTCTCTGAAGGGCTTCAATAGGAGAGATCAGAGCATCACCAAACGCACCTTACAGTTAAAGACGGATGTTTGCCTCTGTTTTAGGTTCTATGCTGCTGAGATTGCCATCGGCCTGTTCTTCCTTCACTCCAAGGGCATTGTGTATCGGTGAGATGGTTTTTGAATCAGCTCGGCTACTCCCGTGTAGTTTCCGGTCCCTTTTAGTTTACAGATGTGAGTAACATCTGTGTGTTTGGATGTTTTTGCAGGGATCTGAAGCTGGACAATGTGATGCTGGACTCTGAGGGCCATATAAAGATTGCAGATTTTGGAATGTGTAAAGAAAACATGCTTGATGGCGTTACCACAAAGACTTTTTGTGGGACGCCAGACTACATCGCTCCAGAGGTGTGTTTTACGGGTTAGCCACTGTCTAGTTGTTGATTGGTTTATTTTAATCTTTCAGACATTGATTGCAACCCTATTCTTTCTCTTGCAGATCATAGCCTATCAGCCTTATGGGAAGTCTGTGGACTGGTGGGCTTTTGGAGTCCTGCTTTATGAAATGCTTGCTGGACAGGTTTGTATTCATCTACTGCTTACCCTCTTAAATGATTATTATTATTATTTTTTACCAAAACAACAACTAAAAAAAAGGGTCTGCATTTGTGCCTCTCTAGCCGCCTTTCGATGGTGAAGATGAAGATGAGCTTTTCCAGTCCATCATGGAGCATCATGTCTCATACCCTAAATCCATGTCCAAAGAAGCAGTTGCTATCTGCAAGGGGGTAAGAAAACATGCTTGCATGCGCATACATGCAGGGTAACTCCTAATGTGGCCCCTGAAACCTCTGCTTGTTTTTCACTCTGAGCACTGGAGGGTTCGTCATATTATAAAGGCTGCTGCGTGTTAGTGCGCACCCTCCAGCAGTGAGGCTGAACTGCCTCTTAACAGCTCGTGGCAGCAAACGATGATTGTACTTGTTTATTTGCCCTCCACACCTCCTCATCTGTGATATCTTTTTATTTGTTTACTAATGCGTTAAATAGTTACAGTACACATGAATAAAGATCACTGTTTTTCATCTCATTAATAATATTTTGCATGACATAATGACTCTGCATTGCTGTGTTTTAATTTAAAAATGCTGCCTTTATGTAATGCATACATGCTACAGATTGATTATGGGTCCGTTTTAAAGGACTAAACGAATACGACTCATCTTGCATTGTATGTCTGTGTGTAATCTCTAGCTGATGACCAAACACCCAGCTAAGCGTCTGGGCTGCGGCCCAGAAGGTGAGAGAGACATCAAGGAGCACGCCTTCTTCCGCTACATAGACTGGGAAAAACTGGAGAATAAGGAAGTCCAGCCGCCTTTCAAACCGAAAGCTGTGAGTATATGACACGCTGACTCACTTCAGCTGTTCACTTTATCAGCCTTCACTAAATGCCTTAGAAATCTTTGCACAGTAGTGAAGAAAATGCCACAGTTTGGTCAAACCTTTAAGGTAAGTTATCAGGATTAGTTTGCTCATCCTTCAAACCCAACCATCACCTGCCGTTGGTCACTACACTCACCAATGCAGAGCTGATTTATTTATTTATTTATTTTTTGTGAGTGTAGTCACCAATGATGAAGGCAGATTTCACCTGGCTCACGTATGGACCAATGGAAATCCACAGTTTCGGCTGTGAATGATTTGATTGGTTGATGCCATATTTTAGTTGTATTTCTCTTTTTTCTCTTTGTTGTTTGTTGTCCTTTTTTTCCTGTCATCCTTCATCAAACTCACTGCATCCCCCCCATCTCTCTCCTCTCCTCTCCATGGCAGTGTGGGCGTGATGGGGAGAACTTTGACCGCTTTTTCACACGCCATCCCCCAGAGCTGACCCCCCCAGATCAGGACGTTATAGTCAACCTGGACCAGCAAGAATTCCAAGGCTTCTCATTTGTTAACCCTGAGTACTCCTACACAGATCACTGACCATGCCGCATATTACTGGTCTGCATTAGTATCTCTTGCACCACACATACTGTACAAAAAAATAAATAAATCACAATTTCATATTTCATATTGTATTTGGAAGGGTGAAAGAAATCACTCAACATTTTGGGAAATGTGTCTTTTCCTTTTAACTCATCACAATTTGATAGCAAATAATATCACTCTAGTGTTAATGTACGTGGCGTTGTAGCTAGGTAGGGATTAAGCCTCAGTCACACACTTCCCAACCCCCTGGCAATGTAAAACGTGTGTTCTCTGACTGGTTGGAGACTGGTTGCTGGCTGTTGCTAGGTAAAAGCGTTGCACAGAGGTTGCTGCACCCAAAACCTGCATGCTATTTCTACGTGGAAGATGCCAAATATTTTCTATAGTTACTCTCCAAATTTTAGTGAAACTTAAAAAAAGACAGTTTGCATTTAAAGTAAAAGTTGTGCTTTTTTTTTAAATATTTTGGTTGCAGCAGTAAGACACAACTTTTACTTTAAAGGCAAACATTTCGCAAGTACTGTGAGTCTTTTCAGACAAATCTGCGTGTTCCATATAAGCTAACTGCATGGAGGTTTTCAGCCCACAGCCCTCTTTGTGACCAATTTCACCTAGCAACAGCCAGCAACCTCTTACCAACTGGTCACAGAATACGCGCTTTTCCTTAGCATCAGGTGGTTACCAGGGGTTGCTGACCAGCAGTTAGCATTAAGTTTGGAAGCACCTAGAAATAGCTAGCCTGGCTCTTTCTAATCTCAACAATAAGATAACCAGAAGTAAAGCAGATTAACACGTCTCTGTGGTTTCACAGATATGCAACACAACAAAGCTGCAAGTTGTGGCTTAAACTCATAAACAAAGCAGTACAACTGTCTCGCTTTATGGGGAAGCTAGCAAGCACACTAGCACAGATATCCTGGTTGGTAAAATAGTGTTACATGATATAAAACCTCCCTAAGTTGCTGAAAGGACATCAGTGGCCTGTAAGGAAAGAGCCACATGACAGATGATGACACTGAAAGGTAGCATTTAGCTGTCCTTGAGCAACCTGGTTGGTTTACCTTCTGGCACTGCTGTAAAGTTTGATAGGTAGCACATAAACAGCAACCCATTAAAAGTATAACTCCTAAACAACTTGATTACCAACTTTTAAATATTACAAAGCAGGGTGGTATCTTTTTAGTTAATATGTTAATATTAAAAATAACTATTCCAGTCTGTTATACTTTTTGTACAAATTAGCATGAATTTGCACAGTTAAACTGCTAGCGAGCACAAACGGTTAACAGTGCTAAACATTGAGTAACAATTTATATTTTGAAGATTGTTAGCTACAAACAGTAAAACATTAGTCTAGCTGCCAGTTTGTTTGTTTTTTATACACATTGCACAAAGAAAAAAAATAAAAGACTTGGTTAGCAGTTAGCCACTAGCTCATTAATCTAGCTTTGCTAACCCTCTCAGTTGAATAACCTTTGCCTTGCAGGTTGCTACATTTGCTTTAAAGATTAAAACATTAAATAAAAGATTTCTGTGTAGTTAATGGTAGTTATTGTTGCCACATTAGTGAGGAGAACCAGGCTAGCTCGTCCCCCCCAGCTTCCATTTTTCACAGTAAACCAGGCTAACACCTCTGCATAAACATGGGTGATATTTATCATCTCATCTGACTTTCAGAAAAAAATTTAATCGGATGTATTTCTTGTATTTCCTAAATAATGTTCACACATGAAATGCAGACAGGTGCTCCACTGAAATGCGACTAAAATAATCAAGTGTCAAGGTGCCAGTAGGCGGCTAATCTTGTTTGCAGCAGCGACACTGTTCTGAGTTTATTGTAGTTTAGCACGTCACGTTACACTGCTGCTCTTGTAGCAGCTCTACTGGCTGTATTTTTATCTTTAGTACAGACATGTTGCTCGCTCCTAAATGCCACACGGCTGCTCACACCAGCAGGCTGATGTCGGAGTCAGACCTCAGGGGCGACTTTAGCCTGCTCCGTCTCTATGTTGCCCTCCTTTGTAATTGCATATTGACTATGACAACCTATCGGTGATATTGATGAGTGTACTATGATCACATGTTGGTAATTCATGCAGTGTAAGTGAAAATTGACCAATTGCTTTGCTATGATTGTTTGACTACTAATCATTTTTCCGAATGTTTACTTTTGTCTAAAATCTGCGTCAACTTAGTGATTTTTTTTTTTTTTAAATTTCATTGTTTGTTTGGGGTTTTTTTTGTTTTCTTTCTTCTTTTTTTTTTTTAAAGCTCTTCTCATGATCAATTTCCGAAAACAATCTCCACAGTTACATTGTTTTTAATGACAGAGATCATATCTCTTTGCTTGTGCACAACCATCTTTGGAGAATTTCACATATGATGAAGGTGTTTAGAGTTTTGTGAAGTCGGTAGTCTGTTAGCTTACAGAAACAGGATGTCCAAAAGTGCCAAAATAAAGTCCAGAATTCACAAGGCTGTGAAACAACTCAACAACTGTGATGAAGGCAGCCATTTTGTGCCATTTTGCAGTACATGTATAATTATAATATGCATTATAGTTTCTGTTCACAAGTAATACAATATCCCATAATTTTCATATATCAAATGAACTGTCTGAGTTGTATTAAACTTTTGTAACTGTGTAACGATGCAGGGTAGTAACAGTGTGTCAAATGATGTTCTTTGAGCTCGTATCAAAAAGAAAAGAAAAAAAAGAAGAGACAGGAAGGCGATATCAAAGGGTTTGTTTTACAAAAATGCTTCTTGAAAAACTATTCTTCCAGATGAAAAAGCGCTTATTGTGATGATGGCAATGGTGAGGAATACATGTTGAAATAACAAGAGAGAGTGCAGAGAAAATTATACATATATATATATATTGAGTTCTATATATCAGAGAGATACTGTATTTGGATACATTGTTTCTGGATGAGAGAGATGCTTCAGTGGATTGTGTAATTGTCCTGTATGACTGGAAACTGATAATATACTCACTGATGCCTACCAGACTACTTCTGCTGTGTCTGCTTTGTTAATGTTGTTGCACCCAAACACAGTGCATCAGATACCCCCATCCAAGCAGAGGGACCACAAATTCTCAGTGGTCTGTGAAAAGTCCCCTAACTCATCACATAAGTTCAGACTTGGTTTGGGAAAAGTGTCATTTAACACACATACAGTGTAGAATAACAACAGCTAATATCTGCTAGGCTGCCCTCATTCACAATAGTTATGAAAGCTTTAGCACAATTTTTAAAGCTTTCCCAAAGGCCAAAGACGGATGGATGTAGCTACAGTGATAACACCCACTAGTTAATGAAGTCCCCAGTTTAAAGCTTCTGCCACCAACAACAATAAAACACCTTTTTTTCTGACAAACGAGATAACTAAATAAAAGCTATGATCAAAATGCCCCTTTGACACTTTTGTTAGTGAATAAAAACAAGATGAAAATGTTCCGATCCAAACTGATTGGGCTGTGTAGAAAGGCAGGACGAGTTTGGAGGTGATCCAGTCAGAAGTAATATCCCATGCTTCTGGTTTCTCGTGAAAACGTGAAAAGATTTTAATGCTTGAGATGAAGGAAAGAGCAAACATATGGAAACGTTTCACAGTTGATGTCATGGGAAATAAGACGCTTTGTAAACCACGTGGAGCAGCTCTCACCGGTAAAAACACATTTACACTTTATAATTTAGTCGAATGAATCAACTTTGGGTTTAGTCTGTGATAATCTTTTATTTAGTCAACAAAAACTAAAAGAATTTGGATGCCTAAATAATGATTGAAACTACATTTTTGTAATAAAAAGACTGAAACTGCATGCTCATTGGCTAACGACTAATCAATCACAATGAACCGTGAACTTAAAAAAAAAAAAAAAAAAAAAGATTAAAAAAAATTATCATCTTTTTAATTCAGTATGACATGAAAGGAGTGACTGAGCAGATAAACTGGAGCAGGAAAATGTTTACTGAGGTCAGGCGGCGCTTTGCCCTTAAATTTATAGAGGACCGGAAGTCATTTTTTTCAATTCCAGCTATCGCCCCCTGCTGGCTGTTAAAAAGAACGCAGGTTTTCGGCACAGTTTTAAGCTACGTCCTTGTTTTACGCTGTCTGTGGTCGAGACGTAGTAGGACACTAGTGAGCCCTTTAAAAGGTCAGTGTAGGAAATTTCTGGATTTCGTCACATCGCTGTTACTGTTGTCTGAGTTGAGGTTGGACTGCCGGACAGTTGCACATTTTTTATTTGTTGACGCATCAAGTCATTTAAAATGGCTCTGCTGTGATACTTGGTCAATAGTGAAATTACTACTCCTGTATTTGAATGGAGTCTTCTTACATCTGGATGCTCGACTATTTTGTGAAAACACCTGCAGCAGCTTTATGAAGATTGAACCCACTGCACGGCCAAAATAATTCTAATGGTTTCATGTAGACGTATGAAAAATGTAATAAAAATGTATAAAACTTGAATGGTTTAACTGTGGCACCTACAAAATTTAATCAGTCACAGGTTTAAACTGATTTATTGGCGTCTTTAAAGCTTGTGACACATAAACCATCAGTCCGATTTATAAATCGTTAAACATAAATCCAAATATACTGTGTGATTATTGTTACTCAGTCTCCTTACACAAAGTTTTAATCAATGAATCAATGAAACACTCTGAAGCCACAAACATACACTTGCTTCGTGCACTAATGGTGAACACGTGGACCAGTGGTAGTGATGGGGAAAGTCATTTCAGCTGGAAGCCCTGTGATGAAACGAGGAGGTAGGAAACTAAAACTCTGTGTGTGTGTGTGTGTGTGAGTGACTCGTGTGTCTTGGGCTCACTGCTTCACCTCCCTGTGTGAAATCCTTTCGGTTGTGGTCCTCAGCAGGTCTCTTTTATCGATCCTCGTCTGCTCTGTTCTGGAACATTTCCTCTCTCTCTCTCTTGCTCTGGAAGTTTGTCTTGGGTCTTTCTGCATCTGTGCTGTTGAAGTTGTTCAGGGTGGTCTCTTTGACTGTGTTTCTGGGTTCGTCCGCAGGGTGTGTTTTGTTTGTTATCCACTTGCTTTCTCAGTCTATTTGGAATCTGATCTGTCGTGCTCAGTCTAACAGTTTTGGTGGTGCCACCTTTTACTAAGTGATCAGAGGTGTGGACTACACTGGACTCTGACATCAAAACGCACACGCAGCCCACACGACTGATTCGTAAAAAAATAGCCAGATGCTCATATGGACACTGAAACAGATGATGACAGGAAACCTTAAAAGACCAGTAAGAAAAAGTGAGGATATCAGGATACCAAATCAGTTTGAGTGTTCATATGAATGTTAGATTATTGTTTTAACTTTAAGTCCTTTGACCTGAAATGACTTTATGTCACCTCAACCCAAAGACTAAAGCTGACCTGATCAATATAATCACATTATGACTATTTCACAGAGTTTCCCTATTAAGACAAACTCAAGGGGTCGAGTCTTCATTTGCCCTCAGCTCTACGAAGCGTTTTTGCAGACTTCAGATCATCAGTTTGGATTTAAAAGCTTTGCTCTTACATGCTGCTGACGTCAAACTTGAAAGCATGAAAAACTGAATCAGTTAAATCCCAAAAGGTTGATTCTGTTCATCTGGACGCAGCGTTTTCAGCAGGAGTCACTTCTTCAGTCTCAGCTGACTGCAGGTTTCCCCAACCTTATAAACAGTACATTTGCACAATAACTGAAACCAGCCCAATAAATGAACAATGGGCTGTGAGGTCAGTTCCTTCATCATTAATACGCAAATTGTCATGACCATTGATCAAAGACCATGAGTACCATTTACAGAGAGTTGGGGAATGGCTGCAATTTCAGCATTTTAAGATGACAAAAGATGTACCCTTAGGCCCCCCCCTCGATTCAGAGATGGTCTTTCCCTTTCCATGTAAATGGCTTTCTTGACTCTGCGCTCAAACCAGCGTTCCTCCCTGTCCAGGATGTGTACATCCTCATCCAGATGAACAGAATCAATCTTTAGGATTTACTTACCTGGATGATTGAGCATCAATCAGTTAAAGTGTCATGACTGTGGACGTGTATAATCAGTCCATCATTGGTCATTTACACTGCAGAAAAAGAGTAGCAAGTGGAGCTGAGGCCTATAAACTTTAAGCCAAAAACACAAGACCGCAGCTCGTTGAAGCAGGTTTTTCAGGATATTTTAGTGTTTTATGGACTGATTTTGAATTCATCACATGATTTTAGACGTTGAATTTGACTTTCTAGACTTCAGGCACTAGACACTGACTTTGTCCCACCTCTGGAAATGATCAAACTGTGTCTTTGCTTGTGTCACAAGTATTTGCCTCCTCCTCTACGCTTCATCTTTGTGCTTTTTCTAACATAGATGTTCTAATTCCTTGTTGTCAACCCTCTGTCTGAACCGCCTTTTTAAAAAACCTCTTTTACAAATACGCTCTAACTTTACTCTCTTTCTTCCTTCTTTCTGTTTTTTTTTTTTTTTTGTGCGTGTGTGTGTCAGAAAACACGCAGAGACGTCTGCAACTTCGACAAGGAGTTTACAAAGATGGTGGTGGAGCTGACGCCAACAGACAAGCTCTTCATCATGAACCTTGACCAGAACGAGTTTCAAGGCTTCTCCTACACCAACCCAGAATTCATCATACAAGTCTGATGACTTCCGGCTGGTTAGAGGCAGCCTCGGCCAGACTTTACTCCAGCTTGTACAGCCCAGCCACATTTCATTAAAGACCCATCCAGCATCAGATCAGGACTCAGAGCCGCGCCGTCTTCAGTCTCGACCCACACCAGCATCTAAACTGGGCAATCATAAACCGTCACATTAGCTCCACAAACACACAGACAGCAGTGTGAAACAAAGCCCGCTGGTGGCCAGTTTCCAGAAAACTCCAGGTGGTTAGCATTCCCAGTACCTCACAGTGAGCCGGTCAGTATGAAGAGCGGTGATCAAGAGTCCCAGTGAATGTGCTAATAGTGTGTACGTGCTCTATTGATCGCCAACAAGAGTGTCTGTTTACTTGATTTTCTTCTCTTCAGCCTGTGGAAGTTGCATCATGAGCCTGCAATGATCAATATGTACATGCACGCTCGCTCACACACACGTGTGTCTGTGCAGG